ATTTTCATAGAAAGGAAATCGTATGATAATCATTTTTGTCAGAAAATATTTTAAGGAATTTTAATGATCAATATGATTTCAATTATTAAAAAAATACCATTTAGGCTCATTTGAACTTCACAAATGCTTTTTTGAAAGTTTTTGAACAAAAAGTTTGTTTATCGAAAAAATGCTCATCATACCATTTTTATAGAATGGAAATCGTATGATATTTTTTGTCAAAAAAAAATGAAAGATGGGACAATTTGATCTAACTTACTCAAAAAACGAATCAAACTCATTTAAACTTACCAAAAAAACTCTTTTTAAAGGTTTTCCTGAAAAAAAAATCAATGAAAAAAAAAATTTCATACAATTTTATACAATTTATACAACTTATCATACAATTTTCATAATTGGAAATCCTATGATAAGCATTTTTTTCATAGAACCCATCCATGGAATTGTAAGTTAAGCATTTTTTTTGTATAGAACTGTATAATAAGCATTTTTTGTATGGAGGTCAACCCTGGTTGTTTCATTTCTTTAATAGTCGTTTACAGTTAAAATTCAGCAAAAACAGCCGATTACTGTGCAAACGGTTTATAGCGTGCTCAAACTAAAGCAATTATTGTCGATCAAAAATCTATACTATTTCGCTACTGGATCAATTTCGAACTAAAAGCTCAGAATGCACGTATCTGAACAATAAAGAAGCATAAATATAATTCTAACAAGATTTATTTTCTACACTTTATAACAAAAAGCACAGTTTGTAGTTTATTCATCAAGTTCATTCAAAAATAAACAACATCATTTCAAGCTTAAATACAAAAAGCGTTCTGTGTTCTGTATAGTCGAGGTAGATTTTTTCACATCACAGAGCATCCATCCGAATTGGATATCTTCAGACAAATTGCTGTGGGTCGCATATCTCTTGGGTCGTTGATAATGCGGTAGCACTTTTTATTTTCCGGTATTCTAGTTTTTTGGGGGTTCAATCGCACCTAAAGAACAAATTGACGAAAATAAGGCAAACACAGCAAACGCGGATCAAGTTTTTTTTCATCGACGGAAAAGATTTTACACAAACAAAGAAGTCAGTTCTTTTTGTATAAGATTATGCTGAAAACTTTGCTTTTTTTCGGCATGCAGCGCCCCCTTCAACATACTCTATCTTTGCTCGGAAGGCACCTTTAGAAAGTTTTAAGGGTTGTTTAACCAAAAATTGATTTCGTAAGAATGCTCCTGTCCACCAAACCTTTGGGAGACCAGGGTCGCTTCAATCCACCCCTGAAATTAGGTCCTATACAATCGTTATGGCAGTATTTAAGCTTTTACAAGACCTTTTCTTCGGGTCGAGATTACTGACTTCACAAAAGAGTTAAACTTTTGGATGGAAAAAAATAGTTTTCATCGGTTTTCAATTTATCACGGCAAAGTTTGATGCAATTGAGTTTAATTTTGAGCCCACTCTAAGAAAATACACGCTTTTCAAAATTTGTCGACCTTTTTTTAGGTCAAGCAAATTGATTTTTCGAGCTCTTCCAAAGCACTAAAAAGACCCTGTTTTGACCAAATTGTCTGCGTTGCAGGCTAAATTTAAAAAGAAAACAGGCCAAAAAAAATGCGTTTGGAAGCACTTTTTGGACAATTTTGACTGAAGAATCTCATTTTTTCGGCGCGCGCTGCCCTCTTAAATATAGTATATATTGGCGCTAAAGGCGCCTTGAGAAAAATTTTAGGGTCCGTCACCAAAAATGGATATCTCAAAATAGTACAAAGGGGGGCGCTTTGGGTCGGCAGGGGGTCGAATCCCTGATAGGGGTAAAAACTTTATGACAGCTCACTTGAGCCCTAAGATCTTTTTCAACGGAGTCAAAAATGTAAGAAAAAATCACAAGCTATGCCATTTTGTGAGAACAAAAAAAACTGAAGATTTTTATCCGACTTGTTAAGAATCTTTTCAGGGCTCCAAAGTAATCAAATTATTGCCGTAATAGAGCACATAAATGTCAGTGAAAATATTTCGAAAGTTTTGGTGTTCACTTTTAAATGTATCATTTTATTTGCTTTAACCGCTTTTTGATTACAACTGATACTACTTCGGTCTGAAGTACGCGAGGCAACGTATGGGTAGCTTCGATACTTAGCAGTATTTAGAGAACCGCGTATTCATACTCGTCGGTAAGCAGACAAATTCTATGTCAACCAATCAGAATCGCGACAAGGAAGAAACTAATGATTAATAATTATTTACTTTGAATGTTTGCTCTCTCGTCTCGACTCTGATTTGTTAATATAGTATTTGTCTGCTTACTGACGACTTTGAATACACGGTTGTCTGAATACAGGCCGCACTCCGCGTAGCTTTGACGCAAAAGATAGCTCGCTCGAAACTGGGTAGGATCTCTTTGCTCAGTTTGTCAAGTAAAGTGTTTCTGAGTTTGCGAAATTTTAGCGCGGTTCCATCTGAGATGGTATTTAGTTCTGATTTTATTTCTGGTCACAATAAAAATGGCACACAGATTCTGATGCACTGCTCAACTTGAGTTTTTTCCTTTCACCCTACTAAACTGCGATTTCCAAAACGTGTGTTTTTTTTTGCTCACACTATTCGATTGTTACAAATCTTAGCATGAGGACTTGGCAGTCTTAGCTCTATGACAAATATTAGGTAGTCTTCATACTAGCCATTGTAAAATCCCTCGTTACACTATAGTTTTGATGCTTATGTGAGGTGGGGGGTCCAAAAAAGAGCCTACTCGTAGAGAAATAAAAGAAAAGTAAAGATATGTCCAGTGTTAATCCATTTGTTGTGAGATTTATATCTGTCTTGAACTGCAATACACATGTTCAGACTTGGATGATACAAAAATGTTACAGAAACAAAAAAATACAGATATTCTCAGTGATAACCCTTTCATTTTAACTACTTACTACTTATTGCTAATATTTTTGGTGTTCAAGTACGCTGAATTGGCAACATGGGCGGATCTAGGATTTCTCGAGGGGGGGGGGGGGATTTTCAAAAAATTTTCGAAAAAATTGTCGAATTTTTTTCTAGGTCGACCAAAATGGTTTTCTGAGCTCTCCCAAATCACAATGAAAACCCCATTTTGAACCGAATTTTCTGCGCCGCAGGCAAATTTTTGGAAAAACAGGCCAAACAAGGCGTTGTTAGGCATTTTTGGGAAATTTTCACCAAAAAATCGCGTTTTTTCGGCGCGCGCTCCCCCCTCAAATTTGGTATATTTTGCGCCAAATGCGTCTTTAGAATAATTTTAGGGTCAGTCAGCCAAAAAGGGATATCTCAAAATAGTACAAAGGGGGGACCATAGTTGTAGTTGTTTTACGTATTATCGTGGCTGAATGCGTTTTTTTATGGCTGAATGCGTTGTTATGGTTGAATGCGAGTTTAGACATGAAAATCAAATTTGTTCGCAACAGCTACTATACTTCCTTCTAGGATTTTCTCGAGGGGAGGGGGAAGGATTTCCAAAAAAATTTCGAAATTTTTGTCGACCTTTTTTTTAGGTTGACCAAATTGATTTTCTGATTTCTCCCAAATCACTACAAAGGCCCAATTAGACTAAATTTCTTGCGCCGCAGCCAAGTTTTTTTTTGAAAAAACAGGCTAAAAAATGCGTTTTTTTTCGGCGCGCGCTCCCCCTCAAAATTAGCATATTAGTACCTCACCAAAAATAGATCTCAAAATAGAACAAAAACAGATCTCAAAATAGTACAAAGGGTCGGCAGGGGTCAAATTCCTGAGGGGCGGGGGGGGGGTGGATGTCCGCCTCTCCCCCCCCCCCCCCCTAATCCGCTAGGGTTTAGGGTTTCCTTACATTATTACAAAGTTACAATTGAATTTCAAATCGGGGGAGGGGATGAATGGCAATGGGCCGGGTCTGATACAGACCGTGAACTTACTAAACAAACAAAATGAAGGCGTGCTTGGCCGTAAAGAAATAACTGTTTCACAACTTGCGTGCCCTGAAATCGGGGGTGGAAAAGCACCGACAAATCCTTTATAAAACATGAAAATTTGCAAAAAAAATTGCAAAATAAAAATTTACATTACAAAAAATCTTCAGTAAAGCATGCGGTTTTGCAAAGGTAAAATTAAGTGAAGTATAATCAATCTAAAATGTTAAGAGAGTTTACCTGCAGCACGCACGCTTTTCCATCAAGTTTGAATTTAAGGAATCCTCGAAGACAAATATCGATGTCATTTGCAAAATAGGCGCCACAGCCACAAGGCTCGCCTTTCAGCAGGGCTTTATGAATTATAGAGAAATTTATAGAAATTTAAAATTTAGGTTTAGGGAAAATTAGTAAGATTTCCACAACCGATGTAAAGAAAAACCAATAATCCAGGATCGGATCTATAACTTTTGCGCGGTGAAGCTGGAATTTGATTGAAGAAATTCAAAAACAAAACTCGTATTAGAAATTTCATACTAATCTGGGGGGAGGGGAGTTATTTGAGTACTAAATTCGTACAAGCCGAGTTTAGTTAATGCCGATCAACCCAGTAAAATATTTTTAATGGCGTCTTGATTATGCGCGTCTGCAAAACGTAGATTTTGGAATCGAAATTCTACAAAAAGCTCACAAAGGTATTTTGACCGCATTTTAAAATTTTCTAATGAAAATAATCCTTTCACTGCTTAGGACGATATATGAGAACTGTCTGGCTAATATTAAAATAGACAACAAAAAGTTGTTTTTTTTTTTGAAAAAACGGCCCCTGCCCCACTAAATTTTAATTTTTGTACCAGGGATTAATTTTTACAGGGATTGTGTTTTCTCATGCCAACTTACGTAAAACTTGCGTAGGGTTTTTTTTCAACACAATTACGCTCCCGACATTTCTACTTAGATCTTCGAAGAAGCTTAAGCCATGATTGTAACAAAAAAACTTACAAACTTTGAAAATATTCATGATCTATATGGGGTGTTGTTTATGGTTTAACTTGAAACTCAAGGACAATTTTGCAGAACAATTGCTCATTAATTCAGAAAGCCCCGCCTTTTAGGTCACTCAATTCGTTGACATCTATGTCATTTTTGTGAACTTGACCCGGTCCTTCTGTTAAGAATTCTCTGTTCTGACAAACTGAGGCGGTGCCTGCTTGATGACTTGCATGGAAGCCAACAGTCCACTCCAGCGGATTCTTCTGTAACAGAATGTTCCGATTTATTGCTCAGATTGTTTTTATAGTTCAGACTGTGACAGATTGTTCCGATTTAATGCTCAGATTGTTTTTATTGTTCAGACTGTAACAGAATGTTCCGATTTTTTGCTCAGATTGTTTTTATTGTTCATAATGCGACAGATTGTTCCGATTTATTGCCCAGATTGGTGTTATTGTTCAGACTGTGACAGTGTGACAGGTTGTTCCGACAAAATTTTCACCTCAAAATGGACGGAATATTAATGCTTGGTGTACTTTCGTCTTAATTTTTTTAGGCTTGAGGTAGTTTTTTTGATTTAGACCAGTTTCGATTTTTCATACAACTTTTCAGGTCTTTAAAATTTGCTATCAATTGTATTGAGATTTTGCATTTTGTAGAGATTCCAAAAAAATATTCAAACTCATTTTTTTTAAAACCAATTTAATGAAAAAAATTTCTGCCAAACTTATGAGTTTTTTTGGATGCTTTCAATGCATACCTCTTCTAGCCAATTGTCAGTTCCATAATCATATCGACCTCGACATTTGAGCCCAATACGAATCCAGTCAGAATTGGGTAGGTAGTATTCGATGCCTCCTTTGGTGCAGAGTGATTTCTTCGCTTTGGGAAAGTTCAAATCACCAGCACCGTCAAAATCCTTAGCTGTAAGTGAGAGAACAAACATGAGTCCTTCCTTCTCTCGCAGAAACTTCACGCCTAAGAAAAAAAGACTAGTCGAATAAAAACTATCGAAGTCCTGATTGTTCCAACTGTTCAGGGGTGGATTTAGGGGGAGGGTGGATGCCCCCTCCCTCAGGGATTCGACCCCCTGCCGACCCAAAAGGTCCCCTTTTCTACTATTTTGAAATATCCCGACAAATTGTGACGGAACCTAATAAAAATTTTTAAGTTGCCTTCGGCACCAATATACTCGAATTTTGAGTGGGGAGCGCGCGCGGAAAAAACGCTAGTTTTGATCAAAATTTTTCAAAAAGTGCCTAAAACCTCTTTTTTGGCTTGTTTTTTCAAAACTTTGCCTGCGGCGCAAAAAGTTTGGCTAAAACTGGGACTCTTACTACTTTAGGGAGCTCGAAAAATCAATAGCTCGAAAAATCAACCTAAAAAAATTCAACAAAACTTCCGAACATGTTCGAAAATCCCCCCCCCCTCGAGAAAATCCTAGATCCGCCCCTGCAACTGTTCATCAACTTTTGTTTCAAATAATGGGGGAATTTGACCCCTTTACCACCCAAAGGGGGATCCTTTGATACTATTTTATGACATCCATTTTTGGCTGACATTCCCTGAAGTTTTCCTAAAAGCGTATATACTAACTTTGAAGGCGAGCGTGCGCCAAAAACAACGCTTTGTTTGATCAAAATCTTCCAAAAAGTTTCCATCCGTCTTTTTTGGATGTTTTTATAAAATTTTGCATGCAAAGCAGAAATTTTTGTCGTAATATGGTCTTTATGGTGTTAAAAAGAGCTCGGAAACATATTTGATCGACTTAATACAAGATCACCAAAATTTTCTGCCCCTGTCAAATAGATCTGCCCCTTTCAAATAGAGTTTTCTCACGGAAATGTTCTTACATCATTTGAAAAAACTACCTTTTTAAGTAATATCAAGTTGTAACTAGGAGATTTCTATCGAGTTTCAACAACTAAAAATAACTAAAAATAATAGCTTCAACAAAATATTTTTTGCGCTCCTTTATAAAGATAAGGACTCAATAATTGAGCCATAGTCAGGACAAGCTGACCCGTTCTTTAAAGATCTTATTTATGATGGAAAAAAACCGAACTCAAAAATTCTTGGGTGAAATTGTATCCTGCACCCAAAACTGTTCAGAATGAATAGAAAACTAGTTTATTGGCTGTGTTGACTCTCAAGATGTCTCAAATTTTTTTACTAGGTCCTTTTTTTAAAAAAAAAAAGTGATATAAAATGAGTCTGGTAATGTAAAATTAAAAACAAAAATGCTTTAAATTTCAAATGAATTGATTTTCCGCTCTCTCTTCAAAAGGACGAAACATATTGAGCGTTATATATCGTCTCATTTTCATGCTTCATTCTTTTTGAGCGCAGGAAATCAATACTTTTCAGCGGATATTATAATAAAAATTGCTTTCAAAAACGGCTTGTCAAAAATCAAATTAAAGATCTCAAAAGTTCTAACACCACTCACAAACACTCCGATACTTTCTTGAAAGCTGAAACAGAAAGAATTCGGCAGTAAGTTGTCGAAAACTGATTGTAATCATATTTTTGCAGGAAATACTCGAAAGATCTGGAACGAATCTGCTCAATACCATCGCAACTTGTGTAATTGTTTGCATCCGCTAGCATAGAAGCGTCTAGTGATGTTTCGACTTTTGTGATAAGTGATAAAATAAGTTTTATTGAAATGGTTTTTATTTTGACTAATTTAAGTGATAGAAAAAATAGCTTCAATGAAAATTTTACGCACCTTAATGAAGATATGGACTTACCAATTGAGCCATAGTCGAGCCAATTTGACGCCTGCTACAAAAATAGAGTTTATGATGGTGAAAATTGAACTAAAAAACTCTTGCGTGAAAACTTTTCCTGCACCCAAAAATGTTCGTAATATAAATGAACCTGGTTATTGGTCGTTTTAATTCCCAAAATGTGTAAAATATCATCAATAATTTTTGAGATTGGTCAGTCCAACATATTTCTATGAAAAAATTTTCTACAAAAACTCTTCGAGACCAGTCAAAGTGCAGTGAGATCATTCAGGATTTTGCGCTGATATATGAATAGTTTTTTCTTCTTAACTTAAATTAAACAGACTGCTCGTATCAGCGCGAAGCCCTGAATGTTCCGACTGCCAATAAAAAGTTAAATGTAATAAAGCAAAATGATTTTTTTTAAATTTGAAAATTTTTTATGAAAATTATCCCCCCACACGCCATATAAAGTACAAAAGGATAGATTCCACTCCTTGTAATAAATCAATTATGGCAAACAAGCTTCTTTCAACCAATTTGGAGTGATTTCTAAGACGGATTAACTCTCCGCTTACGCTTTAATAGCTCGAAATATATCGCGCGTAATTGTCCCAAATTGGCCGAAATGGCAATCTTTAAACCCCCATAACTTTAATAAAAATGATCACAGGTGAAATATCTTTTCAAATTTGAGCTCAAGACAACAATACCTTTCGAATGATATAAAAATTTTTTTGTCAAAAATGGCTAGTTAAAAAGTCGAAATTTGACTAAAGAAAAAAAAACCCACCCCAAGCACAAATATTCCGTTACTTTCGTATCGAAAGTCGGAACAATAAAATTTTAGGTAACTGAAATGGTATTTGACCAAAAAAAATTAGTTTGTTTCTTGGTAAGTTAGTAAATACCGGTTCTGTGAAAAATAATATCGACCTGTAACGGCTCTTTGAATCCAAAACCTTGCCAAATGTTTAGTTTTGAATATATTTCAGAAAGCACTCTGATTTTTTTAATCAAAAACTGGTTCTTATTTATTTGGTTGATTATTTATTTTGATGTGGAAAGAATTTTCAATTTCTTCCGTAGTGCTACAACCTTACAAGTAAAAAGCAGAAAAAATTGCCCAAAACGAAAACCAAGATCGAAAAAACCAAACACAGGTTTATTTGCACAACAGCTTGGCACACTGATTTTGTATTTCTCTTAGAAGATTAAATGTAGAAAATTAAGCCAGGAAATCTTTAATAAGCTTGAAGGTATTCTAAACGAGTTGTGTGCTTGTTGCTTTGCCGCCTGAAAACCTATGCAGGTACTGAATATTTCTTACCTTTTCTATCAAAACAGAAAACGATTCAAAACCGAAAAAGTTGTACATTACTTGAAATTATTGCTGTTTTGTGGTGGTATGCCAGAAACGAACTCAATTGACCTAATTCATGTTCGAGATGGAAATCAAGCTTGCTGCTTTCTTACTTGGCCAATCTTGACTGACGCATACACCAAAGTCGTGCACAGAAGTAGTTGCATTCTTAGCTTCTTTCAGAATGAAATCACCACCTGAAAAAAACTACCAAGTTTAACATGTTTTGCGGCTTGTGAGATGATGAGTGTCCAGGTCGAGGTACTCACTGGATCAAGTCAACGTCCTCTCCCCCCCCCCCCCCCCCCAAATAGAGCAAGTGAACATCCTCCTCCCCCCAAATAGAGCAAGTGAATATCCTCCTCCCCCCAAATAGAGCAAGTGAATATCTTCCCCCCAAATAGAGCAAGTGAATACCCTCCTCCCCCCAAATAGAGCAAGTGAATATCCTCCCCCCAAATAGAGCAAGTGAATATCCTCCTCCCCCCAAATAGAGCAAGTGAATATCCTCCTCCCCCCAAATAGAGCAAGTGAATATCCTCCCCCCCAAATAGAGCAAGTGAATATCCTCCTCCCCCCAAATAGAGCAAGTGAATATCCTCCCCCCAAATAGAGCAAGTGAATATCCTCCTCCCCCCAAATAGAGCAAGTGAATATCCTCCTCCCCCCAAATAGAGCAAGTGAATATCCTCCTCCCCCCAAATAGAGCAAGTGAATATCCTCCCCCCAAATAGAGCAAGTGAATATCCTCCTCCCCCCAAATAGAGCAAGTGAATATCCTCCTCCCCCCAAATAGAGCAAGTGAATATCCTCCTCCCCCCAAATAGAGCAAGTGAATATCCTCCCCCCAAATAGAGCAAGTGAATATCCTCCCCCCAAATAGAGCAAGTGAATATCCTCCTCCCCCCAAATAGAGCAAGTGAATATCCTCCTCCCCCCAAATAGAGCAAGTGAATATCCTCCTCCCCCCAAATAGAGCAAGTGAATATCCTCCCCCCAAATAGAGCAAGTGAATATCCTCCTCCCCCCAAATAGAGCAAGTGAATATCCTCCTCCCCCCAAATAGAGCAAGTGAATATCCTCCCCCCCAAATAGAGCAAGTGAATATCCTCCTCCCCCCAAATAGAGCAAGTGAATATCCTCCCCCCAAATAGAGCAAGTGAATATCCTCCTCCCCCCAAATAGAGCAAGTGAATATCCTCCTCCCCCCAAATAGAGCAAGTGAATATCCTCCTCCCCCCAAATAGAGCAAGTGAATATCCTCCCCCCAAATAGAGCAAGTGAATATCCTCCTCCCCCCAAATAGAGCAAGTGAATATCCTCCTCCCCCCAAATAGAGCAAGTGAATATCCTCCTCCCCCCAAATAGAGCAAGTGAATATCCTCCCCCCAAATAGAGCAAGTGAATACCCTCCTCCCCCCAAATAGAGCAAGTGAATACCCTCCTCCCCCCAAATAGAGCAAGTGAATACCCTCCTCCCCCCAAATAGAGCAAGTGAATATCCTCCTCCCAAATAGAGCAAGTGAATACCCTCCTCCCCCCAAATAGAGCAAGTGAATATCCTCCTCCCCCCAAATAGTGCAAGTGAATACCCTCCTCCCCCCAAATAGAGCAAGTGATTATCCTCCCCCCAAATAGAGCAAGTGAATATCCTCCTCCCCCCAAATAGAGCAAGTGAATATCCTCCTCCCCCCAAATAGAGCAAGTGAATATCCTCCCCCCCAAATAGAGCAAGTGAATATCCTCCTCCCCCCAAATAGAGCAAGTGAATATCCTCCCCCCAAATAGAGCAAGTGAATATCCTCCTCCCCCCAAATAGAGCAAGTGAATATCCTCCTCCCCCCAAATAGAGCAAGTGAATATCCTCCTCCCCCCAAATAGAGCAAGTGAATATCCTCCCCCCAAATAGAGCAAGTGAATATCCTCCTCCCCCCAAATAGAGCAAGTGAATATCCTCCTCCCCCCAAATAGAGCAAGTGAATATCCTCCTCCCCCCAAATAGAGCAAGTGAATATCCTCCCCCCAAATAGAGCAAGTGAATACCCTCCTCCCCCCAAATAGAGCAAGTGAATACCCTCCTCCCCCCAAATAGAGCAAGTGAATAGCCTCCTCCCCCTAAATAGAGCAAGTGAATATCCTCCCCCCAAATAGAGCAAGTGAATACCCTCCTCCCCCCAAATAGAGCAAGTGAATATCCTCCTCCCCCCAAATAGTGCAAGTGAATATCCTCCTCCCCCAAAATAGAGCAAGTGAATATCCTCCCCCCAAATAGAGCAAGTGAATATCCTCCTCCCCCCAAATAGAGCAAGTGAATATCCTCCCCCCAAATAGAGCAAGTGAAAATCATCCCCCCAAATAGAGCAAGTGAATATCCTCCTCCCCCCAAATAGAGCAAGTGAACATCCTCCCCCCAAATAGAGCAAGTGAATATCCTCCTCCCCCCAAATAGAGCAAGTGAATATCCTCATCCCAAATAGAGCAAGTGAAAATCCTCCCCCCAAATAGAGCAAGTGAATATCCTCCTCCCCCCAAATAGAGCAAGTGAATATCCTCCCCCCAAATAGAGCAAGTGAATATCCTCCTCCCCCCAAATAGAGCAAGTGAATATCCTCCTCCCCCCAAATAGAGCAAGTGAATATCCTCCCCCCAAATAGAGCAAGTGAATACCCTCCTCCCCCCAAATAGAGCAAGTGAATATCCTCCTCCCCCCAAATAGAGCAAGTGAATAGCCTCCTCCCCCCAAATAGAGCAAGTGAATATCCTCCCCCCAAATAGAGCAAGTGAATACCCTCCTCCCCCCAAATAGAGCAAGTGAATATCCTCCTCCGCCCAAATAGTGCAAGTGAATATCCTCCTCCCCCAAAATAGAGCAAGTGAATATCCTCCCCCCAAATAGAGCAAGTGAATATCCTCCTCCCCCCAAATAGAGCAAGTGAATATCCTCCCCCCAAATAGAGCAAGTGAAAATCCTCCCCCCAAATAGAGCAAGTGAATATACTCCTCCCCCCAAATAGAGCAAGTGAACATCCTCCCCCCAAATAGAGCAAGTGAATATCCTCCTCCCCCCAAATAGAGCAAGTGAATATCCTCACCCCAAATAGAGCAAGTGAAAATCCTCCCCCCAAATAGAGCAAGTGAATATCCTCCTCCCCCCAAATAGAGCAAGTGAATATCCTCCCCCCAAATAGAGCAAGTGAATATCCTCCTCCCCCAAATAGAGCAAGTGAATATCCTCCCCCCAAATAGAGCAAGTGAATATCCTCCCCCCAAATAGAGCAAGTGAATATCCTCCTCCCCCCAAATAGAGCAAGTGAATATCCTCCTCCCCCCAAATAGAGCAAGTGAATATCCTCCTCCCCCCAAATAGAGCAAGTGAATATCCTCCTCCCCCCAAATAGAGCAAGTGAATATCCTCCCCCCAAATAGAGCAAGTGAATACCCTCCTCCCCCCAAATAGAGCAAGTGAATACCCTCCTCCCCCCAAATAGAGCAAGTGAATAGCCTCCTCCCCCTAAATAGAGCAAGTGAATATCCTCCCCCCAAATAGAGCAAGTGAATACCCTCCTCCCCCCAAATAGAGCAAGTGAATATCCTCCTCCCCCCAAATAGTGCAAGTGAATATCCTCCTCCCCCAAAATAGAGCAAGTGAATATCCTCCCCCCAAATAGAGCAAGTGAATATCCTCCTCCCCCCAAATAGAGCAAGTGAATATCCTCCCCCCAAATAGAGCAAGTGAAAATCATCCCCCCAAATAGAGCAAGTGAATATCCTCCTCCCCCCAAATAGAGCAAGTGAACATCCTCCCCCCAAATAGAGCAAGTGAATATCCTCCTCCCCCCAAATAGAGCAAGTGAATATCCTCATCCCAAATAGAGCAAGTGAAAATCCTCCCCCCAAATAGAGCAAGTGAATATCCTCCTACCCCCAAATAGAGCAAGTGAATATCCTCCCCCCAAATAGAGCAAGTGAATATCCTCCTCCCCCCAAATAGAGCAAGTGAATATCCTCCTCCCCCCAAATAGAGCAAGTGAATATCCTCCCCCCAAATAGAGCAAGTGAATACCCTCCTCCCCCCAAATAGAGCAAGTGAATATCCTCCTCCCCCCAAATAGAGCAAGTGAATAGCCTCCTCCCCCCAAATAGAGCAAGTGAATATCCTCCCCCCAAATAGAGCAAGTGAATACCCTCCTCCCCCCAAATAGAGCAAGTGAATATCCTCCTCCGCCCAAATAGTGCAAGTGAATATCCTCCTCCCCCAAAATAGAGCAAGTGAATATCCTCCCCCCAAATAGAGCAAGTGAATATCCTCCTCCCCCCAAATAGAGCAAGTGAATATCCTCCCCCCAAATAGAGCAAGTGAAAATCCTCCCCCCAAATAGAGCAAGTGAATATCCTCCTCCCCCCAAATAGAGCAAGTGAACATCCTCCCCCCAAATAGAGCAAGTGAATATCCTCCTCCCCCCAAATAGAGCAAGTGAATATCCTCACCCCAAATAGAGCAAGTGAAAATCCTCCCCCCAAATAGAGCAAGTGAATATCCTCCTCCCCCCAAATAGAGCAAGTGAATATCCTCCCCCCAAATAGAGCAAGTGAATATCCTCCTCCCCCCAAATAGAGCAAGTGAATATCCTCCCCCCAAATAGAGCAAGTGAATATCCTCCCCCCAAATAGAGCAAGTGAATATCCTCCTCCCCCCAAATAGAGCAAGTGAATATCCTCCCCCCAAATAGAGCAAGTGAATATCCTCCTCCCCCCAAATAGAGCAAGTGAATATCCTCCCCCCAAATAGAGCAAGTGAATATCCTCCCCCCAAATAGAGCAAGTGAATATCCTCCTCCCCCCAAATAGAGCAAGTGAATACCCTCCTCCCCCTAAATAGAGCAAGTGAATATCCTCCCCCCAAATAGAGCAAGTGAATATCCTCCTCCCCCCAAATAGAGCAAGTGAATATCCTCCCTCCAAATAGAGCAAGTGAATATCCTCCTCCCCCCAAATAGAGCAAGTGAATATCCTCCTCCCCCCAAATAGAGCAAGTGAATATCCTCCTCCCCCCAAATAGAGCAAGTGAATATCCTCCCCCCAAATAGAGCAAGTGAATATCCTCCCCCCAAATAGAGCAAGTGAATATCCTCCCCCCAAACAGAGCAAGTGAATATCCTCCACCCAAATAGAGCAAGTGAATATCCTCCCCCCAAAT